CCCCATTCATAAAACCTATACATAACACCATGTACGAGAAATTTATTTGGCACTGCTGAAAGTGAGCAAATGAGTATCTTGAGTTAGGCGCTTATGATGCGACTGAACTAAGACCTATGCAGTGTTTAGAGTTTAAGACATACACTCTAAATTAATAGAGTTCTCCACAGTAGTATGCATTTCATAATGCATGTGCATAGCGACCAAATAAGGAAGTGAGTGAATGGGTCCTTGCTTCCTCACCGTGAGTCCTTAAGGTCAAAAATGATCTCATTTGTACTCTATGTGACCTTTGACTATGTCATGAAGTGAGAGTTAATGATAGCTACTCTAGTGTGTTACCTATAGTCATGATTGATTCAGCCTAACAGGACATTACTAGGCAAGCAGTTAAGTCGAGACTAAGTGGTATGAGGGCAAAAGGAAGATTAATTTGGAATTACACACATCACTTGTATTCATTGGCTAGCCAGTTGTGTCACTTTAATGCGAGCGGACACAACTGTGGATACATATGAAGTTTAGAAAGGGTTGAGTGTGGATCTAGTGAGGGATTTAGATACGCTTAATTCTATGTAACCAAATAAGTTTGGGGTGCTCAATACACTATTATTTAATTGCTTTCATGTTTTCTGGTTGATGTCTCCATCCTAGCCCTGACGGGTTTCTAGTTTGGAGCTCCCAAGCGCAGGTGTATTTGCTAGTCACACGACTCATTTGTCTGTATGAACTTGACTCAAAGTATGGCTATTTCAACGTAACAGAGGTTGGTTATGCTCGTCATGTGCGAGTGGGAGATGTAGGAAATGGAGAAGTATGGTTACGCTCATGACCGCATAACCCCTCCATTATGGGTAGTTAAAGCAACTAACCATGCCCAAATTAAAGCCTACAAAAGTCTCCCTCTCTCTGGTGAACAGTAATCTGAGGATTCAAAAAAAAACTTGTGAATCGTATTTTTGTTTCATCACTGTAAATGGGAATTCACGATGATTATCATGGAGTGCGTGAATCTGGCCGGCAGCGATAAAAACCCTGGAACATTTTGAATAGGTAACATTCTAATTCGGCATTTCAGATTCGTTGGTTATTCTCTGAAATCTAACAGTAAGAAACATTAAATAACCACATTTTGTCACAAAAAGAATATGGAAATGGACTCCAACATTTATATATGTTCACAATCTTGAGAGATGTTGACACTTGGATCCGCAGCTATTGCTGTCACAATATATAGCTACCATATCGCATTATTTGATTGATAATCATACACACCAACACATAAATGGTTCATGCACGATCTCATTGCTCACTTTATTTATGAGCTGAATAGTTTATGTGCATATCGCTCATTTCCTGCGCTATTATTTTGAGTTCTTGACAGTTTTCGTCAAGAAAAGCTCATTACGTATTTATTAGTGCATGTGTGTGCAGTGTGCACGCACGGGCATGGTGTGAGTAGGCTTCTACATCAAATATTACCACCAACCTATGTTAACATGGATACAGGTGTGGGTGCGGGTGCGGAACGGGTGCGGATACGGAACACGGCAAAATTATAAAAGTAAGAATAGAGGGATACATCTATATACAAACACATCAAAATTACAGCTCAAATTTGGTCAAATTTCTCAGCTGTTTCATATACTCGTAGAAGAAGAAAAAATACTCCTCCATGACGAAATTGAGCACGCAATGCTAATCACAGTTCACATACTTTATCAATCATGTGTTTTTCAGGAAACATCAATCTATTAAACATTCATAATCACAGAGATACCAAGAAGCAAACCGGACTTAAACAGAAATCAGCAACAGTTCAGGTTATCAATGGCATTGTGATCTCAAAGAATCCTGAGAACAGAAATCAAGCCAATAGTCCATAGTAAGACTTTCAATAGTATAGATAACAGCAACACTGAGGTAAAAATCAAATCACAACGATTATTTCTTGCGAGCACACCCTTAAAGTAAATAGTTCAGGGTCCAAATGGAGAATGAACCTCTTGATGATTCACACAGCCAAATATTTCTGCCCAAGACTGGGATTTTGTATTTAATCGTACGGTTGGACTATAGAACTTGTGGAGACTGCAAGAAAAGATACTACATAAATAGAGAAGGAAATCAAGTCAGAATTCAACAATGCATAAAAGATGCTAGTGCTGGTTGCTAAGTATGATTGATTCATACCTCGAATGACTTGCCAGATCTTTCAAATTCCAGCATGCTGAGAGCAACTTCGCAGCTCTGAGAGACTATTGGTTCAGGGTCCTTTGCAAATTCTGTTAGAAGTGCAACACTGTCCCCATCTAGAACATGATAAAATGTAACAGTAAGAACAAAACAAAGAAAAACTCAAAAGAGCAGTATACATGATGTCAATTGCTTGGACATGTCCACTTAGGGGTTCTTATGATGCAGTGAGATACCCAATCAAAATCAAGGATAACTATATGATAACGGTAACCAGGGAGTAGAAAGGCCCAGATAAATATAAGCTATGTTACATGGATACTTCTATCTAAAGTCGTACTCTTACCCAACATACCCACGCCCGCACCGAAACTTCTTGGACACTCCTTGAATATGTTAATGCATTTATATGTGTACTCAATTTTATAAGGCATGAATTAATTTAAAACACTCGTCATACACTTCTTAAACAAATATCCTACACATCCATTTTATAATCTACACAATAAAAAGGAACATGAAAACTTCATAGGAATTTAAATCCTCATAACGAGTGAATGAAAAAACAATATTACTCTCACGTGTATTGTTAATTTCAATATATGCATGTAGCTGTGTCCTTGTACCCTACCTTTTATAAATTTTCCATGTCCCGCACCCGCACCCATACCTGTACCAGTACTCATTCCCATTTCCATGCAACAAAGAATACAAGTATTCTGGCTCAACTAGAAATAAGATGAGCTGGTGAGGGAAATAGTGATAATCAAGGATCGCTAATGGGAACAACCCAGAAAAAATGTGATGAGGAGTGATTACAACAGTATCCTACCCATGCCTTCTATAGTATAGTCATGTTCCATACAGCTAATTATATATAATTAGCTGTAAAACCTCTGTAAATAATACAGGGTGCTTTGACTCTGTAAATAATACAGGGCGCTTTGAATATCCTACTAGAAAAAAGAATAGTTCCACCCAGACAGCATTGATAAATTGCAGGAATCTTCTTAATACCTGCAATTGAACCAAGGGCTTCAGCAGCTTCATGACGAACCATGGGATGCTCCTTCACGTCTCTGAGGATCGCAGACAGTGCAGAAGCAGCAGCTTTGTTTTGCAACTGACCTAAGACATAGGCTACCTGCACAGAGAGGTGGAAGTAATTAATTCACACAATAACAACCTTTACATGTGGGTCAGCACGACACAGATAACCCTCAAGGTCAAACCCACTATAAATTTGTCAGCTATGCTTTTAAGACGCCTAAGTCACACTAATGGTTGGTGCATACACATAAAAATCAGGTCTTAAACCCATCAAAATCAATAAGAAACCACATCATTTATCTTTTAGGATGCTAAAATGACAACAAGATTTTTGGATTCTCCTTTTAATGTCACACACCAGGGGAAGTCTTTTGTTGCAGGAAGCCTTTAACAGTTTGTCAGGGAATGTATTAGTCGAGAAACAACTATAAGGTCTAAAGTCATCCGGAGAATTTGGAGTATTCTTCAGCACACAGTTTGTTTGGTGGAAATCGAAGAAGGTTCCAAAGCAGCTAAGCAACTAGGAGAAAGCAGATTGAAGAAACAAACTCGAGTTTTCTTCTTCCCCGTCATGATTGAGTTACTTGGTTTCAGAGGAGAGAAATTTTCTGTCTATAGACATGCATTCAACAAGTTACAAAAAGAAGTAATACTCTAGAACAGCAAAGTCACAACCAAGTGACAAGCAATGAATTATACAGCATAAGGACTAAATATTTGCTTCAAAACATAAAAGACACAGATCCTTAAATTGACTCAAAGAAACCCCGTAAATGGAAGCGAACAAGAGTGAAGAGCATTCTAAATAACTAGCAGCATTTCGAATTTTCAACTACAGCAGCATTTTTTTGTGCAGAGCAAGTACTAAACAGTCAGCATATTTTGCCAAGCAAAAGATAAAGCAAGACTCTAAATTTAGAGAGAAAACAGAATGTACTGTATAAGAGAATAAAATTTAAATTCTATAGATTAAATAAGGCTGTACAGAAGATATCTTCCCCATATATTACATCACTAAGAACCAGAGCTTCTTCAAAGCATAAGCTACCAACATCGTATTAACAAAGATCACATCCTGGTCTTGAATCTATGACCTCCCATACTCAAATTCCAACCACCTATCACTGAGATAAACCTGTTGATAATGGGTCACTTCATATCGTAAAATATTTGTGCAATGTTAAACAACAAACTTAGTGATGTGGATCGAGGTAGGGACTCCGATCCGAAAGTAGAGGGCTCCAAAATGTGTTGCCTTCGACATCAAACCGGGTCCGATCAGAAAGCACGAGATTCTCAATATTGTGTCCTTTGGCGAGTATCCGAATCTGAACAAGATATGAAAGGGGGAGCGGGTCGATTTTTAAGTATTCGATAACTTTCCAAAGTTGTACCGTAAGGCCGTAGCGGTGAGGAATCATAACTCATAGAGGGTCGATCAGAAAAGATTTGGCGACGACGATACTCGAATGGAGGTCAATGTCGTGGTTCATAGTCGGATGCGAAGGATTGCGGCATCATCGAAGGCAGGTGGTGTCGGATCTTGAAAAGTAGCAAATCATTGTTCATACAGATGAACAGTTTGTAGGCCACTGTTCATCAGTGAACTTTTTTCCTTTTTTTTTTGGATTTAAGATTAAGATTGGATGGCTAGAATTAAAAGTGGAGAAAATTTAGATAAATAACTAGGTCTCACACGTAGGGGCCTCACATCCAAGAACTTCACACCCCAAAGTGACAAATCACAAGTCAATGAACACCTCACATGCTCAAAAGAGAATTCTCAAACTCAATTTTTTTATTCATCAATGTCCATTCCTCATGGAGGATTACATATAAAAAAAATCTAAACATTTAAGGAAGCAAATCAAAATCCTAATCACAAATCAAAACCTAACAAAACTAAAAGATGCAATCAAATAAAATCCTAACTAGAATAGAAAGAGATATCAAAATCAGATCCTAAAGAAATCCTAACTAAAAAGAAGATTACATAGAATAAAATAAAATCCTACCATAAAAGAAAAGATTCTAATAAATCCTAATCGCATCACATGGAGGGTCCACAATTGTCCTGTATCACTTAGTATCCAAACTATATAGTTCTCCAATAGTGGTAGAAGAGTTCCATGTTTTATATATTATTAACCGATCTCAGATTGCAGATATCATAATATAAAAGGTTATGTGCTTATAATAATAAAAAAATTGTGAAGTATTCTGTCGTGTCTACTTGGATCAATGGCGGCTGTCATTCTTTTTGTGCTATCAAAAACCCTTGCTACTATTTACATGCCATAAGTTTTTTGGAACTTCAGTGCACAATACTATCTACTACTACAGCTCTGTAAAATGAATTTCTGGTGGTTAAAAGATAATAAAGTTTGCAGCACCTGCCTCAGTTTTACATAATGGATTCCTAATGGTCGAAGTTTATAAGCACAAAAATTGATATATGTAATTTATAATTACATTATTAGTATAAAAGATTTACCCATAGCAGGAAAACAGTGAAAATAATTAACATTCAGACCAAATAGTGAAAGCTAAAGAAATTCAGACCTCATGACGCAAGAGAGCACTTCTAGAACCTAATGATGCGACTATAGCATTCACAGCTGCTTCTTCTCCATGATTCCGGAGTGCAAACAGAGCTGCATACCTCTCATACATGCCCTCTTCTTCGTTCAAGAGAACTTCCCTTGATTGATATGAATAAAATTAATAGAGAGGGTATAAAATGTAACAAATTCATAATACGGATTTTGGGCATTTAAATAATGGCATACCTTAGTTGATCAACTGAAGAGCAACTCGGAGCAGGCATAGCTGGATCAACAGATAGGAATGGTGAAGCCTCCAATGGAGATGCACCATCGCCATTGTTAGAATTCTTTTGTTCCTTGATACGCCTAAGAGCTAATTCGCATGTTTCTTGCACCTCCTCAGCAGGGTCGGATACCAAACTTTGTTCCAGTAGAGGAATAATAGCCTCCGAACCAATTGCTCCAAGGGCTTCAGCTGCCTAGAAAGGAATCATACTTGTGAAAAAGAAATTAAAAAAGAATAGCAATAATACAAAGAAGATAATCTACCTCATGACGGACAATGGGATGTAATGACATGTCTTTGAGAATCCCCTCTAAAACAGGAATAGCTTCAGCATCCTGCATTTGACCGAGTGCAAATGCTGCCTCATGCGCAAGCAAATTTGAAGGATCTCTAGTAGCTGAGAGTGGGAAACATATTACCACATGATAACACTTCAACCCAAATTCCATCATAATTATGATATTTGGGAAGAAAAACAGTTACATCTACCTTTGACATCTAATGAGGTCGACATATTGGATTACTTGGTCAAGGTTATATAGATAATGAAAATGAATGTCAGAAGCATATTTAGTGGACAATAAATGCACTGAGAATTGCCAAAAATAAAAAACAGCCCAAAGCTATGTAAGAATTTGAAATGACAGTGAGTTTGAAAATGAAGCAACTCAGTAGCCTAGGCTATTCAAATGCACTGTTACATGGCAGTCAATCTGACACTAAAAACTTAAGAACTGGTGACAAAATTCCTAACCAGGGTAACTATAAACAAGTAAGGACACTTTCGCATCATTTTCAAATTAATCGACAAGTAGATTGGCCCATCATTTTCCAAGTTCAGTTTCAAACTTTCAGTCGATAAATCAAGGAGCAATGCTCGAACTGTCACTAATAAATTGGGGAGAGTCATTAGAATAAGTACCATGATAAATTTGTTGTACATTCATATATGGGACAAAAAGTAAGGCACGAGTTGGATAACCTATCACACCCAGCTCAAGGGAATCCTATAAGTTACCTACTATGAATACCCTCTGGCCTCTATGAGTCTATGCATCTCAGTCCAGATCCTTCACTTCTAAACAGATATAGCTTGACCTGAAACAAGCCCATAAGCTGATGGCTTCACAGTAAATTTTCACACAACTACGATGCTCTTGAAGAAAGCAATCATCGCCATTGTGTCATTAGCTAACGCCGTATTGGTAATCAAAGTAAATAATCTTACGGAATGTTTTGGTCATAATTAATAACAGCAAATTTGGTAAATAGTTGGTGTTCAGAAGAATGTACAAAGTAAATATCCCCTTCACGTCGAAAGTTAGACTTTACATGCAGAAAAGTATCATAAAAGTCGTTTCCTAGGTATCCTGCAGATACTGAAGAAACAATGGGCACACTAATCCGACGCCCACAAACAAGCTAATTCTGGACACGGATTACAAATAACCTAGTACAGTTATAGCCCATAGGCACCGGAGTTCATTGGCCAAATCCCGAAACAAAAAGTGAACAAGTATAAAATCTACACAAAGCTGCTTAAGATTCATCAGTTTCTTGATCAGTAATCTCCCACCATAAAACAAGTCCCGACACATAAACTCCAACTTCATACAGTCACAGTGTTAAAAGATATGTTACTGGCACAGGTAACTAGTAAAATGATGAACATAGTTCCATTTCTGCAATGCCACCATGTAAAGATTGTATTTAAAAATATAAATACGAATTGCCAGTGGCATCAAATTTGAACATTGTTTGCCGCACAATGAATTACCTTTGCCAGCAAGAGGTACTCTCCACCATTAAAGAAGAAATAAAAGGCTTATTTACACTTCAATACTCCAAAGTTTCATCCTTTACTGAAAATTTGATATCCCCAAAAGTTCCAAATTGACGTCAACGTGATAATTTGATTACACAGATCCCTAACTTCGTTCTTCACTTTCCCAAACTCAAAAAACTGAAATTTGGTAAGAAAATTGTTTCTCTTTCACTTTTCTATGTTAATATACGACAAAATTAACGTCAAAGTTTACACTTTGGGGTTATCCAATTGCCACAATAGAACTTCAAGGCATCAAAAGTTTAAAAAAAAAAGAATGAAACTTTGGGGTATTGAACTGCAAATACCCCTAAAAAATTGCTCAAGATATACTAACTATAATTAAATCATACCGATCATTAGGGCTCGGCGAGGGGCAGGACCGCGGAGATTGCGGAGAGAGAAGAGGGATCTGAAGCGCTCGGAGATGGGCTGCTGCTGATCGAGGAGCTTTTCGCATAGAAGTTTCTCCATCTCTGGCGAAGATTCAAAGCAATTTTCAGTACCCATCGTCCCTCTTCCCGTCTTGTGTTTAAAGAAGAAGACGATGGATCAGCGTCGGCGACTGCGGGTGAAGTGGGAGAAGAAAGCAAAAAATGAGAGGGTTACGCCGCTTGCAGATATTCCGAACTTTTGCGAATTGCAATATTCACCCACAAAGTTTAGGGCTTGTTTGTATTGTGGGGAATAAGCGAGAAGGGAAGTTAGGGAACTATTCATCTTGTTTGGGAACATTTAAGAGGTGAAGTTATTTACCAAGAGTCTGTTTGGATTTGTAGGGGGTGAAGAAAAGTTAAGAGAAACTAGGTGAGAGATTGGAAGGGAAGGGAAGGGAGTTCCCTTCCCCTTGGTTACACCCCAATTTGGGGGTAACAAATTTTTTACTATTAGGTTGTGTTTGGCAAGGGGATAAATAGGGGGTTAAGTGGGTTTAACCCTCTATTAGCCTGCCAAACAGAAAAAAAAAGGGGAAGAGTTAACAAACCCTCATGTGATCTATTTTGCCCATTTAACCCGTCATAAGAGGGGATAAGTATTCCTTGTAAAAAGGCGGAACAAGGCTTGTTCCACCTTCTCACGCGAGGGTAGGCGGTGGAAATTTTCCAGTTCCAGATCTCGCAACGGAATTAGGGGAATCGTTGCAGCTAATTTCGGAGAAAAAAATCGTTCAGTTGTAGTGAAATTCGCAGCAAAGAATTTCCCCCCAAAATTATTTCCCTCTACTTCTTTCCCTTCAGAAATTTCCCTCTATTTTTTTCACCTGAGAGAGCTATTAATAGGAATATTTGAGGGGGAACAAACAAGAAGAAGCTAGGGTTTTCAGCAGATTGGGGATCTCAAGCGACAGGAGGCAAAGAAAAGTGAGGTATGTTGATTTTACAAATATCGACTTGGTTTCCAAATCTTTGCCATACAAACATGATGTTTTATGAATCTCTTTGTTTGATTTTGCAATATCGGATCTAAGTTTATATCAGAATCCCATGGCGGAAGTAGGTTTAATAGGAAAAAGAGAAGATAATGCTAACATTATCTTAAATCCAATTTTGTTACAATATATTACTTCGAAATATTAAGCTGATCTTATTTATTTGGCATTTTGTCAAAGAGCTTTGCTACAGGGACCCAAAATATGGGACCAATAGGAGGGACAAGTGAGGTGTCCCCCTCCTATTGGATAATGAGTTGGTCATCACTAATGATGGCCAACTCATTATCCAATAGGAGGGGGACACCTCACTTGTCCCCCCTATTGGTCCCATATTTTGGGTCCTTGAGGAATTTTTCTTTGTCAAATTTATCAAGTGAAGGCAGTCAATCATTCCTATGAAGCCTACCTGGTCTTAAGGGGATATATACCTATGTAAACTAAGGGGAAAATGCCAGTTTTGTAATTAAGCAAAGTTGCTATCTGGGTTTGGAGAGGTCTATTATCACCAAGGATCATTACTGAACTTTTAGATTAATTAATCTTCAAGCTTGAAGCCATTTTGTAATTGTATAAAAGCAATTTGAGAACATAATAGAACTAGTGAGACAAAGAGTTAGCCTTATATCTCTTTGCAAACCTGTTAATTACATGACATCATTTTTTGACAAGTTTAACTAGTAGTATGAGGCTATATTATGATACATGACTGATGTTAAAATTATCATGTCTGATGAAGTGGCATAATTCCATGATAGTCACCCTGGTTAAGTTGATTAAGTGGATTAGATTTTTGTTAGGAATGATTGCAGTTAAAATGTGTATATAAGTGGATTAGATTTTTTGTTTGCTCCTTTGAATGGGTATGTTTTCCTACAGCAATTTGATTATCCCATATAAATCCCTTTGACTGGGTATGTCCGTATGTTCCACTCATGTCCAAATTGATTAGCTTTTAGCAAAGAGAAGTAAGTCCATATACTGCACCTGGTAACATCCTATAAACTCTTATATGTTATGTTGTCACTATTTGTAGTTTGCCTCCCTTTAATTTACGACCTCTGTTGTTATGCTAAGATGAGTCTGGATGAGTCTGATTAGTAACAAAAACTATTTTTGAGCTTTGACAATAAGCTTGTTCTTGACTCAAAGAGGGATAAAGATATAGGATACATGTGATTTTGTGAATATTGCCTCTTATGCTTAAAGAATGTCACATCACAATATTAGGCTTTTGAAAAAGTGCATTCTATCTGTTATTATTATGTTTTAAAATTTTGAGGTTTCTTTTAGTACCACTAAAGCATTTAGAAAACACATCACAATATTCCAGCTGTATTATTTCTAAGTAAAGTCTTTGCAAATAGTATCCTTTATCTTTAGTGATACAGAGAATGATTGCTATATTTATTGTTGCTTAACATTTCAAATAGACCCTTGGTTTTGGACCTCTGCATTTGTGTATGTTGTGTTCATTCAGGTTGTTGGCAAATCTCAGATACTAAGGCTTGTGGATACACGAGAAACCTTCAATATTTCCTTGATTATTTTATTAGTTGTGTTATATAGGCTGATTTCATATATTGATTCATAAAGTCCCATACCTTGAGATGACCTACAGTCTACTTTGAGTATAAGCCTGCCAACATGTGGGTACATTTATCTCTATTTGTCCATGACATTGTGAATTATTACCATTAGAATGATACTAGATCTCTTTCTAGTTTCTCTCACAAGGTTCACATTAGAAATCTCCCAAACTTGATTCTTTGATCATTGACATTTATATAGGGCTTCATGTAAATAGTTGACCTCCGTGTCCCAAGTCACCTTATGTAGTTGGAATTAAATGTATTCTCTTTTTATAAACTGGTTGAAAACCAAAACTGTGTCTGTTTTTCCCACGCAAGCTAATACCAAGACCATTTTAAAGCATAATTTTTACGTGTAATTTTTATTTGAACAGTGAAATTAAACTCATTAGCTCATCTGTAGCTCGATATACTAAAGAGTATGTGTAATTTTTATTTGAACAGTGAAATTAAACTCATTAGCTCATCTGTAGCTCGATATACTAAAGAGTATGAAATGGTCTTAACATGCTATCAAGTGCATCTTTGGGGTATCATTTAAATGGGAGTTGTTTTCACTACTCTATACAATTTCACATTTAAAAATTTATCCTGTGGACCATTAAGAGATAATAGAAAGGAGGTAAAAACTCTTTTCTTCTTTTGCCCTGGCTTTTTCGTTTCTCATTTCTTATCTTATCGGAGTCAATAATATTTGTGTTTGCTTTCTTTTATCTGTCCTATGACTTCAATTTTTATCTGTCCTATGACTTCAATAACATTTGTGTATGCACATACATGCACCTATGAACTGTCTTTATGTACGATCATTGTGTTTGTATACTTTAGATCATTTTCTTGGAGGAGTGATGTTTTAGCTTTTGAAGTTTATTGTTGACTTGGTTAATGGGTTAGAGTAACAGAAATGCTTAGTTAAGCAACATACATTGGGATTTCCTTGAGAAAGGGAATGCATGAGATCCTTGTGGTGAGGTCTATTTATTAATTATGCTTCTAAATGCAGTTTATTCTCTTTCATCAGCTAAAGTGCTAAAATTCATAAATTATAATTGGTTAGTTTATTGTTCAATTAATTAACTTATTTTAAAATTCTCATTAATGATATAGAATGGCTAAGAAGAACTTCATAGCACAATCTCAACCCGAAGGTGGGCAGTCAAGACTGTAGGCGTTAAAAAATGCTGAAAGATATACAAATACAGCCAAAGTAGATACAATCCAAAACTGTCAAAAAAAGAACACAAGATAACTATCTCGCACCGAGACAGTCTTTACTTGTCTCGCACGCGAGACATGATGACGGTTCTCGCCGTGCGAGACAGTCTTTATAGTCTCGCCGGCGAGACAGACTTTACTTGCTCGCTCACCGAGACCAGTATTACTGTCTCGCGGGCGAGACGGCTGTTACTGTTCTCGCCCACGCAGACAGGTCTCACGTGTCTCGTTGTGCCGAGACAGTCTCTTACGTGTCCTCGCCTGGTGCCGATATCAAACTTTACTTGTCTCCGCCCCGTCCGAGATCAGACTTTAGCGTCTCGCACCTGGAGACGAGCCTCAATGGTCAGAAACCACCTGAACTAAATGCCACAACACGTCCATTAGACAATCCTACAAAGAACATGGGAACGTTGTTTGGGCCAGAGAATCACGTGGATAACTGCAAGAATAACGAGATAAACGTGGGAAGGCCATTAAAACAAAACTCCCTGACGGATTACTGTTTTCCGAGACAGCGTTTACCGTGTTCCGCGGCGAGACAGCAAAACACTGCATCGCCGTCGAGACAGGCAAAACTGTCTCGACATCCGACGACACAAATGCGTCTCGCGAGTCGTTTTCGCCAAGCAACTGTTCTGGAGGTATAAATTATCCCCCGAAGAGCCGATTTTATGAGGCGGCCTGATCAGAGAGCATTCCATTCAGCGCTATTTCAGAGCCAGAGAGGGCCAGAGCTACTCAAGCTTTGTAGACTCCTTGATATTCCAGGCTGACTTGATTTCCAAGAAGAACGATAATCTTACCGTTGATAACGATATCGTTTTCAAGTTCTCACTTCGATAAACGCCAAGTCAGATAATCATAAACCCCTCAACGAATTCGATCAGCAATCTGTGATTTGGTGGTCGCACGGCGCTAACGCCAGCCCCGGCACAGGCAAAGATCCCACGCAAGCAGTGATCCAAACATCGATCCTGCGTTTGTTTCCCAAGAGTTGTAATTTTTATTTTGTTGTGTAAAAGAAGTCTTATAAAAAGGCTATCTCTTTTTTGAATTTATTGTAATCGACCGAAGATATAATGAATTCCATGATAAAACCAACTTTTGACGAAAACAAAGACCTCGAGCAAGGAACTGGACTATAACTGAAGATAATTGTTTGTTGGGAATATTAAAGGAAATGGTTCTTAAAGGAAAGAGCAACGGAGGTTATTTCACTACGGAGCAATGGCAAAAGGTTACTGATGAGTATAAAGATAGGACTGGACAAAAGGACAGAGGCAAACTACAAATGCAAAACCGTTATATAATTTTGAAAAAGCAATATTCCCTTAATTACAAACTCCAAAATAAATCAGGTTGGGGTTGGGATGAAGGTAAAAATATGGTGATTGCACCTACTGCAAAAGATTGGGAGACATTGATAAAGGTATTATTTAA